GGCAGTGGGTGTGGTTTGGGCTTTGCTTCTGTGAAGACTGACAGCCTTGGAGACCCTGTGGGCAGTTCCACTCTGTCCTCTAGGGGCGCTGTGGGTGGACATCAACTCGAAGGCACCTAACAAGGAGTCTTGTGGACCCTAGGCACTTTTGCTTCTATGGATCCATAGCTCCAAAAAATTAAATAAATAAAATAGTAAAAAGTATCTGTGGACTGCCTTGGTATGAGGCTCAATATACTGCAAGCTCAGTTATATTCATTTTCCCCACCTGACTTTAAACGACAGTAAAGCTTTTCCGTGGGCCCCTGAGAGTCATGTGAGCCCCAGGCACCGCGCCTGCCGAGTGTGACGGCAAAGTGGGCACTGAGCGGCGGTCACTCACCTTGTCCTCCTCGGCCCTCAGGTCGGGCATGGTGCTGACGCACAGGCTGACGGCCGTGGTGGCCACGAACAGGATGGAGAGGCACGCGAAGACCTTGCCGGGGAGCCCCGACTGTGGGTTGTCCACCATCTCCCGCAGCCGGTGCATGAGGATCCCCCAGCGCGAGGGGTCCCGGGCAGGGCCGCCGGCCTCGCGGCGCCGCTGCAGCTCCTCGCCCCTGCGCAGCTCGGCCAGCTCTTGGAGCTTCTTCAGCAGCTTCCGCAGGCAGCAGTGCTCCAGCCTGGCCTCCTCGATGCCCCAGTAGGAGAGCTCCTCGCGGAAGGACAGCGCGCACATCTCTCGCAGCAGAACTAGCTTTCCGGCCGCCAGGAAGCTCACGATCATCCCGAAGGCGCTGGGGCTCCGGTCGAAGAAGAACTCCTGGCTGGCCTCGTCGTAGTCGTCGCAGAGCTGGGTGATCTCCTCGTAGCTGCGGCACAACCGGAGCTTGCTCAGGCGGCTCAGCGGGAACTCGTCCAGCGTGCTCCAGGGAAGGACGTACCGCCTGCCCCCCACGTTGACCAGAATCTCCTTCCTGAGGTCGGCCACAGGGCACGTGTCCCGGGCGCCCACCTTCCGGACCCTGCGGTAGTACAGACCCTTGGTGGACCGCAGCTCCCGGGCGCCAGGCAGGAAATGACTCAAGGGACTGCAGGAACCGTAGGGGGCGTCTCTGGAAGGCACGGGCATGGCTAAGACGTCCAGACCGGGTGGTAGGTCAACCCGTCTGACAGCCAAAGGGAAAAGAGCGAGAGAATGGGGAGCAGTCAGTCTCAGACAAGGAACCCTGGCTCTCAGGGGCGTGTGCTTTGACATGGGCTGTGTGCCACAGACACACAGACATGGTTCATTCTTTCAGCCACTCACTCAGTACATATTTATGGGGCCTACTGTGTGCTCCAGCCACGCCCGTGCGTCCATGGAGGCCGGCACGTTTCAGTGGAGCTCGCAGACTAGGGTGGACTAGGAAGAATAACATGGCCATCCACTTCCAGCAACTGGCCAGTGGAAGCCCTGTGGATCCCAAGGGTTATGTCTGCAAGCTGTCACTGGGACGGCGTAGGGCTGGGCAGTGCTCCTTCCCTCGAGCATGGGGTTGCCACGACCCAGGCCATTGCGACGGCAGCTCGCAACAGCGTGTTTGGGATGCGTTCGTGAACAGAGGCCACAGCGAGATCCCTTCCCTGCTGGAGCATAGCCTTATCCAGGAGACTCTCCCTGGAACAGGATTATGTGGTTTGGGACTTCAGTAACTTACTCCTGAGCTGGACAGGTCAGAGCTCTGCCTCTCCAGGCTGTGAGGTCTTAGGCATGTGGCTTATCCTCTCTGGTCTCAGTGTTATTTTTGTGAATTATAAGACATGCACCAACCTTGTGAGATGCAGTAGATAAAAACAGAGCCTCAGAGTGCGGGCTGTCACGTCCACTGCCTTGTGGACTGTCACCGTGGGTGGATTACTCCCTTCCAGCCCCTTGCTTGATCTGTACAACTGGGATTGTGGTCCTCTGCCCACATCACAGGAAACGGAAGGATCATATGCAGTAACACACATGAAGTGCATAGTAAGGACACTTCTGGATGCTTCTGCAGGACCAGACACCGTTCTCCCCTTTCCTCCCATTAACTCATCTCCTCTGCCCCAGGAGGCAGACATTAGCACCTTCATGGTACAGGTGAGGGCATCAAGGTCCAGAAGGGTTAAATATTTTGCCCGATGTTTAGCCTGACACCCAGGCAAGCTCAGGAAATGCTAGTTCTGGAAGGTTCAGTGAAACGGGACTGTGATGTCTCAGCACAGCATCCGACTCTCCGGCCTCCTCCTTAGTTGTTTTCTTACTTGGAGGACTTTGCCAGGAGGGCAGAGGGACACCTCATGCCTCCAGTGACAACCTACTTTACTGGGTGCTTGTCTCACCACTCTTGCTGTGTGACCTTGAGCTAGTCACTCCGCCTCTCTGGGCCTCAGTCCCTTTATCTGCAAAATGACGGGCCTCCACTAATGCTCCATTTCAGACCTACTGGGACTCTTGGCTGAGGGTCAGGGCTTTGGAGTCAGCCCATGTGATTCGATAGCAGCCCTCCTCTTCAATCATCCTCAGCCTGCGGCCTTGTGACTGTTTCCTAGGCTGTTCTGCCAGCCCCAGCTGCTTGCAGAGCATCTGTAACTTCGCATTGTGAGATGCACTCCAGTCAAGAGGAAAACTGGGCAGCTGAATGGAAGTAAAACTTCTGTGGATTTGTGAGCCAGCTGGATGCCGGCAGACAAGGTACGGGCGAACCCCAGCCTGCGTATTCACACTAGCTCGCCCCACAGCGTTCGGGAATTCTGCGTGTATCACATTGTTTAGCATGCCGGGCCAGGGGAAGGTGATCAGCCTCAGGAGAGAGGAGCCCTTTGAAACCCGGGAGCCCTTCCCCCACACATTCTCATTTTCCTAGTGCAAAACCCAAGACTCAGAGAGCTCCAGTGACTTGTCCAAGGTCACACAGCAAACCCCAGTCCAGCACAGGATATGGCCTCCCTGCCTGGGGCTCTTTCCAGAACCCTAGAGCTGTCCTTTCTGTATTCGCTGTGCAAACTCAACTTTGCAAAGCACTGAGCCCTGAAACAGCCAGCCAGCACAGCTCCTCTCGGCACCTGGGAAAGGTATTCACTCCAAACAGCCCTCTTGCCAAGGGTGCTTCATGGCATCCCACCTCTTCCCGCAAACCCTTGCCCCTGCAGCAAACACCAACTTGCCCGAAGTTTAACTCACCCTCCTGTCTCGAGGAGCCCAGTTCCAGCCGTTCCTCAGCCGGGCAAGGGGAGCCCATGTCTCGACGGCCGGGGAAGAGGTCTCTGGTGGAGCCGGAGGGAAAGAGAGCAGCCCGAGCCCAGCGGTGTCTGGCAGAGTTAGTCTCCAGCCCTGCTCCTTGTGCCTCCTCCAGAAAGCAGAAGTTCATTCATTGTGCGTCTCTCTCCAGCAGCTGCAGAGAGCCCTAGGGGGCGGGGTGGGTTTGTGAGAGGACCCGGAAGCCCCTTGCCTCCCGAGAGGTCTGGGGGGTGTGCGTGCTCCGCGGAGCCAGCCGAGCGAGCTGGAAAGCTGTCCTGCTTCAGCAGCGGCCACTGCGCTCCGAGTCCCCCGGGGACAGCCAGTGTGGTCCTGCAAGGGAAGGGGGGTGGAGAGAAGGGGAGGGTTTAGCAGTAACGTCTCCATCAGCCAGCAGCAGGCAGGAGTAGCAGCCACCCTGCCAACTGCCTGCAAGACACAGGGAGCTGTCCTCCCTCCCCTGCCAAGGAGAAGCATGATTTGGAAGTGGCCGAGGGCAACTTGGGGCAACCAGGCACCTGCGAGGCTGCTGGGATGCGGAGGCTAGTGATGGCAAGGCACTCAGGTGACACCGCAGGAGAAACTTTTTGCTGTTTGTAAGGTCTGGGGACAGGTCCAGGCAGAGAAAGTCAGCCTCTGAGTGCAGGGTGCGAGTTGGAGGCTGCAGGAAGGAGTGGGAAGAGGTGTGAGATTGGCACTTGTATACATTGGACTCTCAGCTCCAGTGTGAACAACTGTGTGCAGGGCCGCATGCGTTTCCCAAAAGCTGTGATGGAGTCCTAGCCACTGCACTTGCCAGTGTGACCTTGTGTGATGTGATAGTTAAGACTGCGTGCCCGCTTGGCTGGGCCTGGTTTTGAGTGGCTGGGCAGCTGGATGTAGTCATTGCCCATGAGACTCGTCATCAGCTCCATGGTGGAATCTACTGTGAGCAGCTGAGTAGATGCCTCAGGGATGTGGTCTGCTTGCAGAGTATAAGAAGCAGCTTTGAGAAAGGTCCCTGAGCTTTACGTCACACTTGGATCTTGCGCTTGGCCGAGTCTTCACTCAGCCGCCTTCGTATTACCTACCGATCTTGGGGCTGTTCCTGGACTTGAACCAGTGGCCTGCCTTGTTGCTTGATAACCTTGGGGCGGTGCCATTTTTCTGGTCGACCTGGGGTTCGTCAGCCTCAGCAGCCAGCAGCTGCCTGAGTTAAGAGATGCCTCCAGCTTCACTGGGGCGGGAGCAAGAGGCAGAGGTGAAGCTCACGGTCAAGGGACCTTCACCCGGCCCCTAGAGCTGGCGCTTTGAATGCAGACTTCTAACCTCCTAAACTGTAAGAGAATGAATCCCAGTTCTTTAAGTCATCTACTTGTGATTTTTCTGTTAGAGCAGCCAAGAGAACCAAAACATATGGAAATAGGTTGTTGAGTTAATGGGGTCATATTGGAGTATGGTGAGTCCTAATCCCTTCTAAGTAGTGTCTCAGAAAGGGGGGGAGCAGACACAGAGACAGAGATACACGCGGGAGGACAGCCTGTGAGATACATCTACAAGCCAGGAAACGCCAGGCGATGCCAGGGCTGCCGGGAGCTGGAGGAGCCACGAGAGGGTCTCCCCTCGAGCAGCAGAGAGCGAGTGCGGTCCTGTGGCTGGGGTGCCCTGAATTCGGGCTTCGGTCCCAGAAGTGCGGGGGAGAGAGTCCTGTTCCTAATGCCACCCTCTTTGTGCTGCTTTGTGTTGGCGGCCCAGAGAGTGAAGACAGGCAGCATGACCTTGGGCACCTGACTTAGTACCTCTGAAACTCAGCTTTCTTACTTCTTTAAAAAAAGAATGAAAGGAATTTCTGCTTGAGGGCACTGAGTTTCTGATAATGGTGGTGGGACAGTTTGGAAGTGGATTTAGATGGTGGGATGGTTGTATAGTGTAATCAGTGCCGCTACGTTTTACCTGTGAAAAATGTTGGGTTGGCAGACATTGCACTACATATTTTTACCGCAGTAAAGTAATTTTAAAAAATGGAATGAGGGGAGAGGACAGGGGGTCCAGTCTGAAACCCCAGGAGGAAGCTCCACCTGGGGTTTGGCTGTGGGTTGGGGTGAGGGGACGAAGCACAGACCTGGGTCCTGGGGCCTGGCTTTGGTGCTGCCACTCCCTTGCTGTGTGTCCTCAGTCACTCTATCTCTCTGGGCCTTGGTTTTCTCAACACTCGAACGAGGATGGTCAAAGAGGCGATGGCTGAAATTGCAATGCCATCTTCTAAGGAGATGGCCAATATATCGTGGGTTCTCTGTAATTTTCTGAAGAGGTCTCAATGCCCAGTCTCTTAGCTTCTGGAAGCTGAGTTAGAATTAGCAGGTCCATTTTACAGTCAAGACCTGGAGGTCTTGGGCTGGGGCCCAAGGTCACCTTGGTGTTTAGGATAGAGTGCAGGGGATCGTCTGTGCCTGGAAGGGGGTGGCAGGAGCTGTGCCCTGGCGGGCCTCTGCACCTGGGCAGTGGGGCCGAGTCAAGGCAGGAGCTGAGGAGTGAAGTGTGTGGCTGCCGTTTGCTGTTGTAGTTTCTGATGGAATTGCTTGAAGCCCCGGGGCTTGGCAGACGTGATCGAGGGGCCCGGTGTGAGGGCTGTACTGAGCTTCCTAGAGCCGCCCCACCATGTACCGCAAGTAGGTGATTTAAGACAACAGAAATTCATTGTCTCCCAGCTCGGAAGGCCAGAAGTCCAAAATCAAGGTGTTGGCAGGGCTGTGCTCCCCCGGGCCCTCCAGGGGAGGCTCCTGCCTCATCTCTCGCAGCTTCTGGCAGCGCTGGGCACTCCTTGGCTTGTGGCTGCATCACTCCAGTCGTCTGCATGGTCACATGGCCTTCTCCTTTGTGTGAGTGTGTGTGTGTGTGTGTGTCTGCATACAAGTCTCTCTCCTTTCTCTTATAAAAGGAGCCCTGGTGGAGCAGTGATTGAAGCAGGCAGCCACTAACTGAAGGGTCAGTGGTTTGAACCCATCACCAACTCTTCAGGAAAGAGATGTGACAGTCTGCTTCCATAAAGATTTATAGCCTTGGAAACCCTATGAGGCAGTCCTAGTCTGCCCTCTAGGGTTGCTATGAATCAGAATTGACTCAATGGCAGTGGGTTTTGTGTGTGTGTGTGTTTGAGGGGTTTTCTCTCTTATAAGGACAAACACCAGTCAATGGATTTAGGGCCCACCCTAATCCAGTATGACCTCATCTTAACTAATTACATCTGCAAAGAACCTATTGCCAAGTATTTCACAGTTATAGGTACATGGGGTTAGGGTTTTAACATACCTTTCTTGGGGACACAATTGAACCCATTATAGGGTGACCAAGGGGAGGACAAGAGGAAAGGACTGTCTGCCTGCTACCCTGTCTCCATCATGGCAGCTCCAAGCTTACCTGTTTTCAATTAAAAAAAAAAAACCCACGTGAAACTCCCTGCCATTGAGTCAATTCCGACTCATAGTGACCCCTCCTTGGGTTTTCGAGGTGCTACATCTTTACAGAAGTAAATTGCCTAGTCTTCTTTCCGAGGAGTGATTGGTGAGTTTGAATCGCCAGTCTTCTGGTTAGCAGTCAAATGCCTTAGGCACTACGCCACCAGAGCTCCTTCCTGTTTTCGATAGACTCTAAATATTGCCCAGGTAAATGCTGGGGTGCATGTGGCCCAGTCTTTACCACGGCTCCTGACAGAAATGAAGCTCTGACCCCTGCCCCTGATGCCCCACTTCTCTCTGACTCGACAGCTGCTCCCCAGCCTCTCATAGACCCAGCTCCCAAAGCATCTCTCCAGCTCATGCTGCAGTTTACCCCTCTGTTCTTTATTAATTGTCTTGACTTCATCTCTGTGGCTAAACTGTCCATCTTGTCCCTCTGCTCAGTTTTCTCTGGGTCCAGAATGCAAGGGTTCATGAATTTCCCACTTCCCAGTGGGGTGACCTTGAGCAAGTGCCCTCCCTAATTCGTGGTGTCGCTAGAGCTGGTATCACCCAGTGTGGTAGGTAATTCATAGTGTCATTGCTCACCCCCCGCCATGAGCCTTGCCCTGTACCAGACAATATAGAATCCTTATAGTGTGTATTCATCAGTTTTAATCATAGAATAATATGTAACGAATCCAGTCGCCAATTGCTTAAAAGTCATACTTCTTAGATTACATGAACACTGACAACAATATTGTTTTGTAAAATCTTTCTCCATTCAATTACGGCATTACTAGTTATAACAGAAATCTTTTTTTATTTTTCTCCTCTTCCTTTAATTACTACTACATTCTCAAAAAAGTTATTGATACAGGGTACAGGTTCACCGCCACAATATTAGATGTAAAACGCCAGAAGATTTGACAAACTCTGTGACTATGAAAACAGCGGCAGCAGCGAGAATAACAGTGTATGTTTAGCACGTGAATGAAATGAGAGCCTTTGAAGTGTCTCTGTGATTGGGTAATGACCACTCTGGCCCGATGCATTGGCCAGTTCAGAAAGTACATGAGTGCGGGGTTTCAGCCTGGCGGGTCTGTCAACACACGTAGGCTGGGCTTTCGAAAAAGGTTTTGGTGATGACTGTAGAGATATCTCTGTAAAAAATAATTTTCCGCTGAAACATTGCACAGAAATTTCACAGTCATTTTGGTGTCCCCTAACAGTGTCATCTGGTGCAGGTCATACCTGCTCACCCCTCTAGTGACAACGGCTGCTAACCTCACTCTGCCTCAGTTTCCGCATCCATGAATGGACATCATTGTGCCTGCCTATTGATTTAAGAAACTATGGTGGCACTGTGACTAAGTGCTCGGCTCCTCACCGAGAGTTGGGCAGTTCTAACCCACCAGCTGCTCTGTGAGAGAAAGAAGTAGTGGACTGCTGCAGTGAAGACGGCAGCCTTGGCAGGGACGTGGGGCAGTTCCACTCTGTCCTCTAGGGGCGCTGTGATGGCACGCAGTAGCAACAACCTACCGTTGGGTTTGCTGGAGTACTGAGTAAATAATGTTACGTTTATAAGGCCGGCGGAAGAGTGCCTGGCAAGTTGTGAGTCCCATTTAAGTCTTTTCTAGTATTATGTTCATTATCTTAAAGACTTCTGTTCCAGTCCCAAAACAAATATATTGTTTGAGAAACAGAGTCTACTGTTAATTTTCTTCAAAAGAAAAGTTGAAGGTCACTGATCTAGTACAAGTCCCTCCTTTTACTACAGAAAAAGTGGGACCCAGAGCTGGGGAAAAAACAAAACATTGCCATCAAGTTGGTTATGACTTGTAGCAACCCTATAGGACAGAGTGGAACTGCCCCATAGAGTTCCTAAAGCTGTTGATCTTTACCAAAGCAAAGCCCAAACCAAATCTGCTGCTTGGAGTCCATTCCGACTCACAGCACCCCTAGAGGACAGAGTGGAACTGCCCCAGAGGGTTTCCAAGGCTGTCATCTTGGGGGAGGCTGTCATCAGGAGGAGTCCTGGTGGTGCAGTAGATAAATGCTTGGCTGCTAACCGAAAGGTCAGTGGTTCAAATCTACCAGCTGCTCCATGGAAAAAAGATGTGTCTATCTGCTTCTGCAAGGATATACAGCTTTGGGAATTGTATGGGGCAGTTCTGCTCAGTCTTACAGGGTTGCTGTGAGTTGTAATCAACTTGATGGCAATGAGTTTGGTTTTTTGGTTTAATCT